CCACCAGCACCAACGACGCCACACCTCTACCAACGGCAGCCAACTGCCTTCATGGGAAATGTATATGTTTATGAACAAATCCACAAGGGCCGTGACGAGGATTCGAACCTGCGTCCGGGAGCATCCCAGACACTGCCTTAATCGACTGAGCTATACGTTTATCTCTCAGAATGTTCGGTAATACGTTTATTGCTTGTGATGTGTGTATATGTATGTATTAACACGATGTACTGAACGGGGTGAGAATAGCTTGAGCTACCTTCATCCCTTAGTGTGTATTTTACCTCAATAAAGTTATTTCAATTTCACTGCCTTCAGCGCTTGAGGAGTGGGGAGGGAGAGTTTGTCAACTGTCAATTCTAATCTATTTACTATTCAATTCGCGTTATTGGCAAACTGATTTTTTTATTAATACATATGGTACATCTGTATTTGTACAGCTGCCCTAGAATATATGAAGGGGAGTACAGTGTGTTAAAAAGCTAGCTACGTGATGCTAAAAAATCCCCATCACACGAGATGGTTAGTCATACAGAGGCATGTGATAAGTAGTCTACACTGACAGACTCTGGGTTGGTTATGAGGATATTAACAACACAAGATTGAATAAGGTAGCAGTGGTACTACAAGTCCCCATCTCGCAGGATGGTTAGTCATACAGGACAATATGTTCAGTAGCCTGCACTGGCAAATTTTGGGTACACTGTGAGGATATCTTCAAGAATACGAGAGTGAATAAAGTAATTGCAAGGCTCCAGGTACCTCATGCCAACTGGTCTGAAAGGTCTAATAACTGGTCATTCGGTGATATAGTGTGGGAGATCATGCCGTAGTTCCTGCTCACAGAGTTTGCACCTGGAGTGCTCAGGATTGGCAAACTGAGCAACGAAGGTTGAAACTGTTTAAAGGTTTCAGTGAAATAATTATAAACCTCTGAATTGGCCAGCATCCACCTGTCTTCTTTCTTAGTACATCTCATTTATTACGGAGTTTACCCAACTCGTTAAAAGGAGACTAATGCCTAGTATTTGCGTTTTCCACGTCTGCCTCGACATGTTAGGTGGGTTGCTTGGGTTCACAAGCTTCTAGTCAAGCAAAACCAGTTGCCCTTTTTTGACGGAGCGCTAAATAGCTATAATAGGCCTATAAGCGAAATAGGCTTATCAAATTCACAGGAATTTGTGAGCGAGATTACTGGTGACCAAGGCCCAATCAACGTGATTTACAGCGACGTTGATTGGCTGCAGATCGTCCAGTAAAGCAGTTATACCACCAAAACCATGCTCAGTCATACAAATATTACGTCGGCCAGTATTTCAATACAGCTTCCTCGCTCCACAAAGTCTTCTGTACGCACTCAATACAAAATGAGCAAAAAAGAGCCAACAATTAACTCACTTTGACGCTCGAGAAACTTATGATCAGTAGGTCTTTGAGGCCAGTTAGGACAGGAAAGGTTTGACTGACAAGGCTGACCTTCAACACTAACCATGTGATCAGCCTAGAACCCCGAGCCCCCCCCCCCATGCACATATTAAGTGATCCTTGTGTAAGCTCCATTGCACCTCTCGCGTCTTACAGATTCACTACCATTGTCTCCCCCCCCCCAAACTACCACCGTATCACAACACGACAACCAAAACTTGAAAACTACACCGCCACTTTGGGGGGGGGGGGTCTGGTAGCCGAGTGGACAGCGCGCAGGACTCTTAATTCTGTGGCCCGGGAAGCCAACTCCAACCCCCACTCCACCCACCCATCCCCTACATCACAACGATAGCCTACCCAGGATTCCTCTCTCGCCTATACGGGCTCACCATAGCCCGTGCTACTTTAAACATTTTGTTCCAAGTAGCTAATCTTAAACAACAATAACTCTCGCCTACACTTGATAATCCCTGGAGGAAGGTGTCTCAGAACCGTGTCCCCCAAGACTGGGCATCTTGGAGAATATTAGAGGATTGTGAGACAAATCTGCGATGTAGGGGACAGATTACTTTCCACCTTTCCTATTAACCGAATACACTATTCAGTGACGGACGTGGGAGGGTCGCTTTACGTGCGTCACAGCTTACTCTAGTATTCTGTGAACCGAACTCTCTCTCTCTCTCTCTCTCTGTCTGTCTGTCTGTCTGTCTGTCTGTCTGTCTGTCTGTCTGTCTGTCTGTCTGTCTGTCTGTCTGTCTGTCTGTCTGTCTGTCTGTGTGTGTTTTTGAGAGAGAGAGAGAGAGAGAGAGAGAGAGAGAGAGAGAGAGAGAGAGAGAGGGGGGGGGGGACGCCGTCTGTTGCTAACCTGTTCTGACTATTGGCTGGGGTGGCAAATCTTGTATTCAAGATAGCATGTCAGATTAAGATTCGTGTGTGCCAATGTATATACGAGTCTTGAAACACTGCCATGGCTGGCCAGAGAGCTCATCTACGATCACGCTCAAGTTTGGAATGAATCTCCACACGAAATAAATTTTGCTAGCCTTATGGCACAAGCTTACAAATAATTACCAAGAGGAGAACTGTCAGTGAATTTAAAGGAGAAAAACTTTCTTAAAGTACCATCTCTTGACAAAAATATACCCAGGAATTACTGAAGGGGTGTCAGGAAGTGCTAGATCAACACCATGACAGTTTATGTGGAAAGCTTCGCAGGGGACTCAAGATAATCTTTAGTAAACTGTTTAGGGAATACAGCTACACCTCCTCCCCCCCCTCCTCCTCCTCACCCCCCATAAATCCCTTAAAATTAAGGAGAGGAAGAATAAAACTGCCACTATTAACGTAAATTATTATGTCAAGAGAGACTCAGGGGATTTACTATGAACTTAACACGTGCCACCAGTTAACTGTTCAGGAAATACCAGACATAAATTAGAAAATGCAGCAGCAGTAGTTTGATGCCCATGAAAAAAACATATGGAGAACTGAACTAAACGAGACTATTTTTAGTTGATTTGGGGGCTTTTTAGTGTCCCCGCGGCCCGGTCTTCGACCAGGCCTCCACCCCCAGGAAGCAGCCCGTGTCAGCTGACTAACACCCAGGTACCTATTTTACTGCTCACTACGGAAGGCCTATTATCTCAAGGCTATCATTTTTATCCACCAAACTCGATTGATTGACTGATGAAGAACCACCCAAGAGAGGGCACGGGCATGAATAACCCGTAACTGGTAGACTTTGGGAGTGAACGTGATCTATCTTTGTGAACACCAGACTCGTGTCCAGCCTCTTTAAATAATCCAGCGATCCCACGTAACCCCAAATTGTGTCCTTTGCTCCATAACTCTACAACCCAGCTTCCAAAACTAATATTTACCCAGGTCTTTCCCAACTCTAAACCCACCAAAATTCTTTACATTCTTTTGTGAACTAATGTTGATGCATTAAAAACGATATCTCCCTTTTTATGCTACTTCGGCACTTTGTATACTGCAATCATGTCACACCTTATACTTTTCTTTTAGGAAAGATTAATTAGCAATTTCTAGATTCTCCTAAGTAATGTTTTTAAGTTAATTCCTGGGATTTCCTTCGTCATCCTTCCTTCTAGTAAAGCGTCGCATTTTGACGTATACTCTACCCTAGGATGCTTAACGTAACTACTAGGTTACTATGTAACTAGGATACGTGCCTCGGAGAGGCTGCAGGATCCAGTAAGTTCAGTAAAACTTCTGTTTTAACTCCTTTTGACCATGTCGTAGCTCGGTCGATTATGGCAGCGTCTGGGATGCTCTCTGATGCAGGTTCGAATCCTCGTCACGGCCCTTGTGGATTTGTTCCTATGTAACGTTAATTTATGTATGGTATTGAAACACTAGTATATATTAGTATCTTCCAGCCGTCTGAGGAAGACTTGCTGGACTGCCTCGTGTGCAGTCAGGACTTGTCATCTTTTCATTAATATATTTTATTATCTTATTATGTTCCTCAGAATTGTATCATGATTGTATCGTTACTTGTAATTTTTGCACACACTCATTTTTATTGTACTTTGGTTACTTTCATTGTACTTTTGTGTATTCTTACTGAAGTGAAACTGATATACTTTGCATTGTGTTAATTTAGTTTTTGTTATTATTACACTGGCATTTTTTAATTATTTTAGGGTGTAGATATGGCATTTTGGACGAGTTAAGACAAAATTGGGCTTATCATACACCCGATTTTGTCTTAACTCCGGGGAAAGGGAGCTGTAACACCCATGTCCTCCCCCCCCCCCTTCCAAGAGCTCACACCCAGGGAAGCCTTCTCCAAGAGGTCAGCCCAGATGACCTCTGGGTCGTCTTGCAAATTAAAATATTCCTGGCTAGTCTTAGTCAGCTAGTCTCAAGTAGGTCATGTCAATCATGATAATCTTGTCACACATTTTAGTGGAATTATAACTTCCAGAAACATATGTGTAAACACAGATCTGCCCGTCTACCCTTTCGGCTATCTTGAGGTTATCTTGAGATGATTTCGGGGCTTTTTAGTGTCCCCGCGGCCCGGTCCGCAACCTGGCCTCCACCCCCAGGAAGCAGCCCGTGACAGCTGACTAACACCCAGGTACCTATTTTACTGCTAGGTAACAGGGGCATAGGGTGAAAGAAACTCTGCCCATTGTTTCTCGCCGGCGCCTGGGATCGAACCCAGGACCACAGGATCACAAGTCCAGCGTGCTGTCCGCTCGGCCGACCGGCTCCTGGCTAGGTCAGAGGTCGGTTACACTCCCATAATTGCTATTCCCATCCTTGAAGAGGTGTATAGTGGTTGTTAAACACCTTAATAGTAAATTCTCGAGTGTGCACGCGGGGGGGGGGGGGGGGTGAACCACTTACAAGCCTCAATGTAGGTTAGCAACAGCCATTTCCCCCCTCCCCCCCTTTTCCAGCTGATATGAGGTGTGGCAGCTTCTGGGGCGTGTGTATATATAGCCCTGTATGAGAGTTAGGAGATAGTACGAGAGTGCTGGAGGATAGAGAGGTAGTGTGGGCCGCAGGAGACAGTGAAATTCACCCCAAGTCGTAGAATAGGACCCCAGAAGGTAATGTGTGCGATCTTTGATATTTTCCATGTGTAATGTCTAAACAATTGCCAGAGTTAAGGTAGGGACTTAAAGTTTGGTGAATATCAAATTTTGTTCTCAATAAACCCATGTTAAACTTTCCATCTGTGTCAATTAAGAACATAAGAACAAAGGTAACTGCAGAAGGCCTATTGGCCCATACGAGGCAGCTCCTATCTATAACCACCCAATCCCACTCATATAATTTTATAATATATATATATATATATATATATATATATATATATATATATATATATATATATATATATATATATATATATATAATTAATATAACCTCATTTCACCTGTTTTGTCAACAACTGGTCAATTATTAATGGGCTCTCGAAGCCAAGTGATGCTTCTTGCCTCATTGGTTGATATAGCTAAGTGACAGGTAAGATGGTGGCAATGTTTAATTAATGTTTCTCTGTTTAGCATTTCCTTGAGAGGGTACTATTGGTCCCGGGTGTCAGTGGTACACCCTACTTCAATTCATATTACATTGCACCTAAAATTAACAGTGTTACAATACCTAATATTATCAAGGTTTTACCTCAATATACTAGGTCACCAAGTGGAACTAGTAGGAAGTGTTACTCTGTGTTAAATCGGTATAATTCTAGCATTACAATATAAATTATAGTGTTACAATTTGCCTCTTCCTACCAGGCTACTAACCTCATCCTACCAGGATACTAGCCTCATCCTACCAGGATACTAGCCTCATCCTACCAGGCTACTAACCTCATCCTACCAGGCTACTAACCTCATCCTACCAGGCTACTAGCCTCATCCTACCAGGATACTAGCCTCATCCTACCAGGATACTAACCTCATCCTACCAGGATACTAACCTCATCCTACCAGGCTACTAACCTCATCCTACCAGGCTACTAACCTCATCCTACCAGGCTACTAGCCTCATCCTACCAGGATACTAGCCTCATCCTACCAGGATACTAACCTCATCCTACCAGGATACTAACCTCATCCTACCAGGCTACTAACCTCATCCTACCAGGCTACTAACCTCATCCTACCAGGCTACTAGCCTCATCCTACCAGGATACTAACCTCATCCTACCAGGATACTAACCTCATCCTACCAGGATACTAACCTCATCCTACCAGGATACTAACCTCATCCTACCAGGATACTAACCTCATCCTACCAGGATACTAACCTCATCCTACCAGGATACTAGCCTCATCCTACCAGGATACTAGCCTCATCCTACCAGGATACTAGCCTCATCCTACCAGGATACTAACCTCATCCTACCAGGATACTAGCCTCATCCTACCAGGATACTAGCCTCATCCTACCAGGATACTAACCTCATCCTACCAGGATACTAACCTCATCCTACCAGGATACTAACCTCATCCTACCAGGATACTAACCTCATCCTACCAGGATACTAACCTCATCCTACCAGGATACTAACCTCATCCTACCAGGATACTAACCTCATCCTACCAGGATACTAACCTCATCCTACCAGGATACTAGCCTCATCCTACCAGGATACTAGCCTCATCCTACCAGGATACTAACCTCATCCTACCAGGATACTAACCTCATCCTACCAGGATACTAACCTCATCCTACCAGGATACTAACCTCATCCTACCAGGATACTAACCTCATCCTACCAGGATACTAACCTCATCCTACCAGGATACTAACCTCATCCTACCAGGATACTAACCTCATCCTACCAGGATACTAACCTCATCCTACCAGGATACTAACCTCATCCTACCAGGATACTAACCTCATCCTACCTGGCTACTAGCCTAGTGGCATCCTACTAGGGTACTAGCCTATTAGGCCAAATACAATCCAGGACATAAAAACGTGGAACAATTTTATAAAAAACCAGATGGAACCTACTATATGAAGAGGCGGGCCCAAGAGCCATACCTAACCTTGCCTATAAACACTAGTTTAAATTATTATTAGAAAATCGCGCCAACGGAAACATTTTCCGCCGTTTGAAATTTGAAACTTTGAAATTTGCTCAGTTTCGTAACTGATAAAAACTCAGTTTCGTAAGCTAAGCGGTAGACAAACAGGTCGAGTACACGTGGTTCATGGTCACCACTCCAGTCACTGTCACCCTTCACCGCACTTAACAATTATGTAGGCTAAACTCCTTTCAGCCTTTTTTTTCCCCCATGCCATGTTTCGCATTCTCATCCGTTACGCCTTTTATTTTCAGACTGGGAAAAAAAGGTCAGTAGCCAGCAAGAAGGTCATCAGTGAAGGCTTGACATACCATACGCGTTATGGTATGATTTCAGGGCTCAACGTTCTCGTGGCCCGGTCCCCGACCAGGCCGCCTCATTATTATTATTTACACAGTAAATTACTTAGACCATATATTTCTTATTTGTGTAAAACGGTACGTGAATACGATTTTAACGCTTCGACTACGACCATTTACGGATAACCGTTACGTTACTATCACTTTATAATTACGTTATAACAATGTTACCATTACGTTATTATATTCATAACCGTTGCTTCACTGTTTTGATGCAATGGTTACATCCTCGAGAATTAGAGCTTTCGTCTCAAGCAGCGTCGACCCCCCCCCCCCTGGGTGTTAATGTTAACTCTTAGCACCTAGTTAAGGTGTTTGTTTACATTTCAGATCATGGAGTTGATCTTTTCATGAAGATACATTTGTTTACATCTACAGATCAGATTTATGAAATTAACTTTTTACAATACTAAATTTTCCACAGTTCAAATATCGAAATTGCACTTCCCGAAATGCTTCACACAACTGCACAGCCCAAACTTAAAAAACAAAATGAACAAAAAAAAAAAAGATTTGCATTTGTGTGTATAGAAGCCTATACATAAAGGTCAATGTTACGAGAGATTTTTCTTCCCGTTCTCTAAAATGCCCAAAGTTCATTCCATGCACCCGCCAAACCCCCCCCCGTTTATGAAAAACTTTACACACTACTTAACTGATGCAGTCCGAACACTTCCTGAACAAATGCCTCACTGACTTGTTCGAACCAAAACGCTGTAAATGCTTCACCAACGTACTATAAATACAAATAATCGCCAACAGAACCTAAACACCTAACCTACCCTAACCTGACCTAACCTGACCTAACCTAACCTGACCTAACCTAACCTGACCTAACCTAACCTGACCTAACCTAACCTAACCTAACCTGACGTAACCTAACCTAACCTAACCTGACCTGACCTAACCTAACCTGACCTGACCTAACCTAACCTGACCTAACCTGACCTAACCTGACCTAACCTAACCTGACCTAACCTGACCTAACCTGACCTGACCTAACCTGACCTAACCTAACCTGACCTAACCTAACCTAACCTGACCTAACCTGACCTGACCTGACCTAACCTAACCTAACCTACCCAGTGCCTAAATATGCACAATATGCTAATATATAATAATTTATATTTGAGGAAAGTTTGGTTTCGAATGAACAAAATATTAAAATTGATGAATGCGTTTTTGGGGTCGACCGCTGGATGGAATGGACCGAGGACGGGTTGCGATTTTTACTAATACGTCGTATTTGACAGATGGTTCGATTTAAATAATTACATGTGCGCGAGGACAGGTTGAGGATTTAGTGTACAGTACCTGTCAGGTAAGCTAGATATCAGAGCTATTTTAATATCTTATTAAAATTAGTAGTGAAGGGAAAACTTTAACGTTACAGGCAACGGGATGAGGTTCTAGTGGCCATGATGTGCAAAAAGCCTCATTCACGGAGAACTACAAACACCTTTCGACTTTTATAATTGTCCTAGACTGTCCGAAACGTTGTCTCTCCACATTCTGATATGATTTGACCATTTTATACAGTCTCCGTGGTGTAGTGGTAAGACACTCGCCTGGCGTTCCGCGAGCGCTTTGTCATGGGTTCGTATCCTGGCCGGGGAGGATTTACTGGGCGCAAATCCTTAACTGTAGCCTCTGTTTAACTCAACAGTAAAATGAGTACTTGGTTGTAACAAAGATTCTTCGCGGCGGGGATCGTATTCCAGGGACCTGCCCGAAACGCTACGCGTACTAGTGGCTGTACAAGAATGTAACAACTCTTGTATATATCTAAAAAAAAAAATCTTCAGCCACATTATTTTAACTCATCGTCTACACACAAACACCTTTCGTTGTCATGACCAACAAACATTTGCGCGCATGTAACTGAAGCGAAGATTTATATAAAATATAAATTTGTATGAAAACATTCATCCGTCTCTCAAACAACAAATAACACACTAGGACTCACACCTCACTGCCAACCTACTTTGCACACCGGTAGCACATGATTGCGTCATTCTTATGACTGCTGGCAAAGCGAAGAACACAATGACTGGAAAATAAACAAAGCCAAGGCCAGCGAGAAAGCGCCAAGTTTGACTAACACTAATGGAATTAAGAGGACAAAGAGCTGGGGCATGATAGCGGACTGAAGGAACCAGCCACTGACACTAGGATCGAACGCCGACCTGCAAAAACAAATAGTTTCACTAAGCGCAGCAGCATTGGCTGACATTACGTCACCACATCGTGCCAGAAAGAGAGGCATTGAAGCTTAATGACCTATGGCTTTCTAGTACGTGATCTCGTCGGTAATGGAGTCCTAACGTCTGGGAAAAAAACATTGTGCGCGCGTTTCTAAACTTGTCCAGAAAAAGGGATCTAACTTCAAAACCCTGTATGAGCAATTTGTGTTCTCAATGTAGAGCCCGAATTTTTTTTTTTAAGTCTAGCTAGTCAAATAGGAAAGAACGCCCATAAGTCAAGCCTAGCCCCGAGCCGGGATTGGGGAGTAGAAGAACGCTCCCCCATCCAGATACCACTCATCTAGGTGAATATTTGTATGTTGTTGTTGTTATAGATTCAGCTACGCGGAACAGGTTCCAAGTAGCACGGGCTATGGTGAGCCCGTAACTTACCTGGCACAGG